CCCTCCTGTACTTGTAGATCCTTTAACTCTTCCAAAAATGGAAATACATGACCGAAAAAGAGGATGTAATTTTGAAGCTAAGGCCTTTCTCTACAAAGTTCATGTTGTTTATGGAGGAATTAAGTCTCAAAGTTGTACAAGTTTAACAAATTTAATATGTTAACCAACCTCCCTAAAGTGACAAATTTTTTATATATGGGGCATGCTGTAACAAAACCAGACAAAGTGAACATTGGTATTAACAAAAATTTCAGGGATCAAAATTTAGTTATTATTATCACAATTAGTTTTATAATGTACCATTTGTTAAGTGATATATAGAACCATCCCTATATAAAAATAGTTATATGAAGCTAATTTACAGCAGATCTACTATAGAACCCAAGAATTACAGCACTATTAGAAGTATTTAAAAAAGGAACAAGGTGAAAAATTGCTCCTTACATTTTCAAAATAAATGATGCTCAGACACTGGAAGCTTATCTAAGGAATGAAAAGATTACCTATGAAATTTACCAAGAAGAAAGAAAGATAAACACTAAGAAAAGAAAACAGAATGAAGGTGTGCTATTACATAAGGTTTCTGGTCAAAACTATCTCTATTAGTAGCTGAAATTGCCGAAATACTTTGGGAAAAAAATTACTTTTTTATAAGTCCAAACTATTGTAAGGTTGTTTAAGTTAAAAGAAACCCAAATTGCCCAAACTAGTTTGGGCTTTGAGAAAACAGTTTGGACCAGAAACCTTATACCTAACAAAAGACTGAAATCTTTGGGCAAAAAAACCTTCATATAATCAAACTTGCTAATTACTTTTATCTTTATCAATGAGATTTCTGAAATATACATGCAACCCAAATTGAAGGTCAAAATTATCCTAATTTTGATGGTTGAAATTCGAAATTAATTACAGCATTCACTATTAAGAACAAGTGTAACACCCCTTTACAACAGTGTCAAAATAATTTGGGCTGCATGTATAAAGTAAACAAAATTTGGTTAATTTCAAAATCATAAAAAAATGTTTTTTTTTTAATAAGCTGTGTTTATTCTGAGACAAATTTTTTGTCATCAAAATGTTAATACCGTTTGTTCAAATCCGTGGGGACAAATAATAACAGTAGTAATTGATAGTAGTGTCACCGGAACATGAATTGGACCTTAATTCGCTGTTAAATAACCCCGAAAATCCGTAGTAACCCCGTCATCATTTTATTTATATTATTAATCTTGTTTTTATTATTTATCTGTTATTTTTATTTATATATTATTTATTTTTAGCATTTATTATTTATTTATTATTTATTTGTATTCTATTTATATTTATTCCGAATGATTTAATTAATTGTATGAATTCGTGTTACATGCGCAGTATTTAATTAATTCGTAATACGTAGACCTTAGACTAAATTTAGTAGAATTTCATGAAAATGAGCCCGAAGCGGGCCATAAAGCCCACGGCGGACTCTTTGACCCGTGTACAAGGCGGGCTTTTAAGCCCAATGCGGGCCATAAAGTCCAGTGCGGGCCATAAAGCCCAATGCGGGCCATAACGCCCAATGCGGGCTTCATATAATTCAAAATGTATATAAGGAATGGAAATTCGCTGTAGTCGAAGAATAACTTTGTAACAAATTAACTTAATAATAAGTTAATAATTAGTTTCGACTAAATTACAAAATTAAATAAATCATTTTATCAATTAACTAAGACATAATTATTCGCTAATAATAAAATCAACTTGTTGATAACCTTTTCAATCTGATCCACATAAACTAATAAATAATTGTTATCACCCTTTAAAATACGCTCTCCCAAATTTAATCGGTGACAGTAGCAATAAAAATAATGTTATCAATAATGATGTAATATGGTGATAGTAACGATATCAAAATAACAATAATAACAATAATAATGAATTTTTGGGATGTATACCACCAGTCTTTACTATAAGAAAAATTCACATAATTTCATTTTCATATAAACAATTATAAACACCTTAAGGTTTTTGAATTATTTTATTGGTTACTAATTATGATTATGTATAAGAACAATAAGTTTTTTTTTTTTTTTTTTAATAGAATAAATAAGCAAATAAAATAAGAAATCCTGTAAATTTTAAACTAGCAAAAAAATATCTGATAGATACTTTTTGTAATCTTTTGTTCTGATTTTTTTCAACCACTATTTAGGTATCGCTTATTTTGAAGTTGAATATAGCATGGACCAATTAAGTGAAAATTGGATGTCAGAAATTTTTGATTTGGAAATTAAGCAAGTGGTATGTTTTCTAATTTTTGTATTTAAATTGATATATATTAATTTATTATGGGAATTTCCTCTGCTTTGGCTTCCAACATCTTTGATTTGGCTTTCAGACCCTTAGCTTTAGCTTGCAATTTTTTTGCTTCAGCCCGCAATTGTTTAGATTGTGCTTGTAATAGTAATGTTCTTTTCCTTTTGTTATTAATGATTGACATGTTTTCAGAAAAAACTATTGGAAGTGGTGATGATAATGATGATGAGAGTAATGAATTGGAATGATGATGGTATGAGTTTTTGTGATCATCATAGAAATTTTCTTTGTCCATGTTAGATGATTCACCTACTAGTTTTAAAATATGTTTAGCAATTAATTATTTTATTAAAAAAAAAGAGTTTCTAAAATCAACATTATCAATTATTTTCTAAAACCTTGTAAGTTATCATAAAATCTTTTTACTTTTTCATCTACCATGACTTTATCTCTGGAAAAATTTAGAACTTCCAAAGACTTCATGGATTTTGCTCGAGATAATGCAACGTATGTTTGGCCTATTTTATTTATTTTCCAAAAAGATAAAAAATGATTAATTAATTACAAGTTTATTATTGTTAAAAAAGATAAATATGTATTTTGTGCCTTTTTGGAAAATCCCATTCAAGTCTATCTTTACTCTTTCCAAAGTTTGTCCTTGACTTTTGTGAATACTAGTCGCCCAAGCAAGGACGAAAGGAATCTATTGTTTAAAGTTAGATAAACATATATCTGCATGCATATCATACACATAAATATGTACATATGCAAAAATATTAAAAATATTTACTTGTTTTCTGCTTGCTGTTATGATTCTACCAGCAGGACCAATTGTCTCAAGTTGCCATTCAGCCATGTGAACATTTATTTCAATATTTTCTGTGAATTTAACTATCGGTAAGATCACATCTTGATGAAGATTTATTCCTTCATCTTTGCCATTATAATAACTTTGTTTTTTGTCCACAGAAAAAAATCCAACAACAATGCCTCTGCTTCCGTTGACCAAATTTTTGTTAATATTCTTAATAAGCATCACTTGTGCTCCGCATTTTAACTCCAACTTTTTGGGTGCCAAACAATTTTTGATAAGAGTGTCTAATTGTCCATAATCTTGATCTTCTGAATAAAAATAATAAGATTTATTTTGAATTTTACTTAAATATTCAAGATTTGTCTTAGCAACATTATAATTTTTTGGATATCTGGTAAAAAATAAAATAAAATAAATATATATATTATATATGTGTATGATGCAATTATGAATGATTCATTAACTCACAGCTTAGTGGGCTGAATTTCATCAAAGTATTCACATGGTTGTTTTAACATTTCCATAATATTCAATGTCTTTTCAGTCACTAATCCTATTCTTATCTCGTTTAGCATATTAATAAATTCTATAGAATTAAAATTAGAATTAGAACAATCTACCAAACAGATAGAACTATATAATACAAATAATATTTGGTCCTTGAATGAACAGCCCATATTTTCTTCCAAACAGATATTTTTACCTGGTTCTTTCTGCCTTAAAACCACTGATAACTGTATTGTGTGTTTAAAACACTTATGCCATGAATTTGCTTCATAGCAAAATTTATCATTGCGTATCGGCGGCAACTGGAAAAAATCACCAGCAATTATCAACTAATAAATAAAGTTAATAAGAATATACAGATATGTACATTAATATATTTGCATAACAATTGAAAGTTATTATCGCTAAAATGTTAAATTATTGGATATCAATATAAAATGTATGTATTTGTTCATCACACTTACTAATATGCCACCAAATGGTCTGTTGTCTTTATGAACAGAACGTGCAATTTCTTCCAATTTGTCAAACAACTCACCATCGAGTGTTGACACTATATTCAATAATTAAATTATTATGTTTTATTGATCAATCAAAAAATAAAAAAATAAAATAAATATATATATACCTTCATCTATAATCAATGCTTGTGTAGCTCTCCAACGTAAAATGTTGGGATAGTAACTTTCAACTTTCTCAATTAATTCTTTTACCGTCCCATTCTCCAATCCTATCCCACAGAATGAATGTAATGTTGTTCCACTTAGTTCAACAGCTGCAATTCCTGTGGTTGCAGTCACAGAAACTGTACCTTCCCCAAACAATTTTTTTAGAGTATTTATTATTTTTGATAATAAATAACTTTTCCCCGTCCCTGCTGCCCCCGTGAAGAAAACGTTTTCCTTATCTCTAACAACGAGATCATATACTTGTTGCTGTTCTTTCGTCAAACTTTCCTCCCTGTAAAAAATATGGTGACAGCCAAGCCTGATCTGAGAAGAAGATAAGGGAAAGTTTTGTCCAAAGCCTTCCAACTTGTTCAATTGCTTCACCTGTGGAAAAAAATCCACAGTTATGAGGCGTGTGAAAGCACAACGCTTGCTTGTTTGTGGCAGGAAATTTTTATTAAATCTGACACCTGTGATCAACACCAGATTTATGAACCATAATTGATAATCATGAAGAATAATTTATTTTGTGAACCCCAGAGATCTGGGTAGACATGCATTATTAAAAGTTTCATTTTTGCATGGCCTTGGTATCATTACTACTTGGGTGATGCAATTGTTTGTTATGTCAAT